TTTTATGATCAATCACATATTTAGTTGAGTTTAAAATTTTAAAACATGTATTAATGGGTTTATATTAAAAATTAATGAGAATATGTAGAGAATTTCCACCATGACATATATTTATAATTGAAATATTTTGATTGGTCAAATTAGATGATGATATGTCCCTTGAATTGCTCAATGGTTGACACATAAAATTTTTTTTTTTAGTGTCTCTTCAATTAATATATATATATAGAGGGTATGACATTTGTGATTTTTTTCCATGTCTCCTCAATTGGTTTAATACTTATTTAGCCAACCATAGATCCATTTTAGCTAAATAAAATAAAAAGATCTAGATTTAGTTTGCTCAAGAAAGAGAAATATACTTAGTAAATGACAATGAACTTTTACTTTGTGATGTAACTATATGACAATAGTGTAACTAAAAAGTAGTTAGTTCTAGGATAAATTGTTTGCATATCATCATTATGTCAATTTATTAAAAATAAAATCTAATTTTGACCATATCATTTGCTATGTCGATTTATGTCAATATATTAAAAGTAGTTAATTTTAGGCTAAATTATTTGCATATCATAAATTCATAATTATGTCAACTTATTAAAAATAAAATCTAAGTTTGACTATATCATTTGCTATGTAGATTTATGTCAATATATTAAAAAAAGAGTCTAATTTTTTGACTATTTTACTTGCCAAAAAATTTACATGTAATTTTGAAAAAAATATGACAACAAATTTACGATCAAATATTGCTAGAAGAATATATTGTGTATTTAAATCTCGCGCGTAAACTCACTTATTAAGAAATCGAGAAAAACTATCTCGCGCTCAAACTCACTTGCTAATACATTTTTTTTTAAACATCTTTGAACAAATTCAATCTTCTTTGAATCCTTTCTTTTCCAAAACCACAAACAATGAATCCAAGAAGAAGCCAAGAGAGTTTACCCGATTTGATTATATTTCTAATCATCTCTAGCTTGCCCTTCAAGGAAGCTATGAAAATGAGTCTTGTCTCAAAGCGCTGGGGGAGTCTCTGTCACAAAATGACCAATATTGCTTTCAAGGAGTCTGAATTCGTGAAATTTTCAGACGATGAACAAACCAAAAGCGTCGCTAGGGCTTCGTTCGTTCGCTACATGCTTAAATGGGTTGTATATTTTACTGGTGAAGAGATCAAAAGTTTTAAACTTTATCTATCTAAACCGGTTGAATTCGCAACAGAGGTCATGTCGTTGATCGATTTCACGGTCTCAAATCACGTCAAGAATCTAGATCTTGATTTCTCATACCCTTCTTGGATTACCAAGACTGAAGCAGAAACAAGAGTCTTTCAATTGCCAGAAAGCTTTTACAATCAAACGAATCTCGAGTCACTGAAGCTATTCGCTTGCGGGTTTGATCCATCAAGGCTCGCGAAAACATGTTCGCTAAAAACTCTCTCTTTTGGTTGGATCCAACTCAGAGACATCATGTCTTTGATACTAAAGTGTCCTCTTCTCGAGAGTCAAAATTGTTGGGACGTTGGTCTCGAGAAGATAACTGAAAATAACAACCGGTTAAGAGAATTGGTATTCAAGAATTGCGATTTCGGTGTGGATTATACGACACTCGACTCAACATTCAGATCTTCAAGTACTCAGGTAGGTTTCATTACTTTCAATTCATGAGAGTCAATAGGGTAATGAAAGAAGCATACTTGGATTTTGGTGTGGAGACAGAGTACCATGAAGGAACAGGAGAACTTCTTTGTGGTCCCCTTTACGATCTTTTATCCGCCAAAATATTAACCATATGTCCTTTTGTCATTCAACTGATTCAAGACGAGGATCCGACTCGATTACGAGCATCCATGCAAACAAGACATTTGGTAATGAAAGCAAACCTGCTTCCACATGAGTTCATTGGGATAAAGGTAATGATCAATAGTTGTCCTCATTTGGAGACTCTCACTTTCCAAATGGTTGATCCTAGGCCTGTCTTACCGACGGATTTTGATATCGAATTCGATCCAGAAACTTATTGGGAGTATCCAATCAACCATAGGTGTTTAAAGAAGACGCTCAAAGTTGTGGAGTTGAGGAACTTTAGAGGTGGCTTGTACGAGGTATATGTGTTGCAGTTCTGATTCGGTGTGGTCGTGTGTTGGAAAGGGTTGACCTTCATTTGCCGATTGGATTGGTGGAGAGTCAAAGGACTTCTGCTTTTGTTGTTGCTGAGTCTTTGTGGAAGATGACCAATATTGCTTCGAAGAGTTTGAAGATTTATCTTCACATTGGTTGAAGAATCTTTAACCTTTTTTCAAGATTTATCACTGTTCAAGTTTAAGAAAGGGTATTTTAATTTGAATGCATTTTTCTTTCGGTTATTGATTTGGAATTATCAAAAATAAAAAGTTGTATTTGGAATAAAAATGTTTGGATAAAGATAATCTATACTTATAAATACGAAGTCTCAAATCCTACGTGTCGTCTCCATAATGAATTTAAGACTTGGTTTGCATATATTATCCTTAATGATCGATATAATTACATATCCATGTCATCGCCCAATAAACAAAAAAGAGCAATTTATTTATTGGAAAGTACTCTTGTAATATACCATTAATCTGATCGGTTTGTTTTTTTTTGTTTCATTTCGAGCTTATTCATCTAACCCATAGCCCATAGCCCATATATGATTATCTTATTTTATAACAAGATTTCGAATATGGGCTTGATTTCTTCATTACGTGATATTGTTTTTTTCGTCTTCTCAATATTACAGCCCTATTATAATTTTGATGGGCTCTAATAAATATTTTTGTGGTCCATAAGTGTACATCGGTTTCCTAAAACCCTAGGTGCAACCTCCATATTTTCTTATATATAATAGATTTAGGGTTTTGTCGAGGATGTATTTTTCCTTTCTTTCTTTACGTGGATTTCATATTTTTAGTTTGATATGTGTTTCTTATTGTTGTTAGGGTTTTGTTTGCAGGTTTCATATTCATTATCAAGGTATGAGCTTTTAATCTTATAAAATATATGATTGTATTCTTTTTTGTTGTATATATTAACTATTTCTTTCATCTTTTTTATGCTATACGATTTTTGATGATATCAAAACAATTCTCATCCTTATCTATACATTCTTCGATTCTTGTATAAAAAAGGTCTCACATCTTATTATTTCTTTTGTCTTGAACAGATTCATGTTTGTTCAACAGATTCAACGAACTTTGTTAATGATTTTTTAGGCTGAAGCAATTCTTGCATACGTAGTTATTGAAACCATGTCTAATAAATATTCATCTTTTGTCAATATATATATATATAAACCCTAACATAGCTGCAAAGTAAAAGTTCAATCCAATGAAACCATACGGTCAATCGTTTTATAAACACAACATGTGAACTCTTCTTGAATACGTTTTATAAACATAGATTTAATACGTTTTATATTCAATAGTCATCATCACAACACGTGAACTCTTCTTGGTTTTATCTTTTTCATCTGTTTAAGAGGATTTGAAGCTGAAGAATCAGAAATCAAATCAAGTCAATGGTCTCCGGTATTATTGATTCGTCTAATTTGTCTTATACGGTTGGAGATGCTTAAGCGATGTCAGAGCTAACATGATAGCTCATTTCTATGGAGTTTCTGATGGTAAAAAGAAAAATTTGATAAAAC